AGGAGTGGCTGGTAGGTTTGAACTGCCAGCCTTCTAGTTAGCAGTCAAATGCCTTAGGCACTATAGTGTGTTTATAAATGTTTAATAAAGGATAGGCTTTTCATTTAAGAAGTTCCTGGTTATTTTTTAAATTTAGGTTTTAGAGATTAAGGGGCCACAGGAAGTTAGATCTTTGTCTTCTATAAAGTGATTAGCCTTCTAAAAGAAAAAAGGCTATAGTCAAGTAACATTGAGAAAAATGAAAAATAGTCTAATTGATCACAAGTGAAGAAGAGTGACTAACCAGACAGTCTAATTTGGTTAAATAAACCTTTACCTGTCTAATTGATTTCAAGTGAAGAAGAATGACTAACCAGACAGCCTAATTTGATTAAATAAACCTTTACCTGGAAAGTGTTTAATTTCACGGTTTCATTTTCTCCTTTCCTTTTACCCTCAATTCTCAAAGTTCATTTGATTCCCTTTGTATATTTTATGATGTATGGGGCTTTAAGATTGAAAGACTAGAATCCAAGAATCACCAATGTTATGTTCTGAAATATTGCATTGTTCTTCAAATCAGCCTATTTACACAAGACTTCATATCATACAGTAGTATATTGTATATTGTAATAGGCATTATCCTTTTATAAAATATTAATCCAACTCCATTTTTTTCCTTAAAATAGTCTAAACAACCCTGAGTATATATATACTTTGTATAATCTTATCTATGGGTTTTCCAGAGTTTTAAATCATGTTTCAAAATTTCATTCTTAACTTTTAACCCAAACTTCTGAAGAAATATTAATCTATGATTTACAAAGTATCATAGTAACCTGATTTTGAACTCATTATTTTCATGACAAAGCAACAAAACATAAGTTCTCCATAATTTGTGTATTGTATACATAACACAGAATACTTCAAATCAAATGTTTCACTGCAATTTTTATGTGCTAGTGAAGTTTTAAAAAGTTTAAAAATTTCCTACAAGTTATGAAGCAAAGAATAGGTATGTTTCCAAATTATCAACTGCTAAACTTATGCCCAAGGAGCTCTGGTGGTGAAGTGCCTAAAGCATTTGTCTGCTAACCAGAAGGTCAGCAGTTCAAATTCACCAGCCATCCATGGAAAGAAGACCAGGCAATCTACTTCTGTAAAGATTTACTGCCTCGGAAACCCAACGGGGGTCACTATGAGTTGGAATCGACTCAATGGCAGTGGGTTTGGTGGTTGTTTATTTTTCAGCTTATGCCCAACAGAAAAATTTATTTTTGTTTTATCTGGAATGTAGCAGTTAAGAGCATGGACTTTGCAGTCAGATAGCCTGGGTTTAAAGCCTGGCTCTACTACTTACTAGAAGTATGAATGGGTAAATTATTTAAATTCTCTAAACCTCAGTTTCCTCATTTTTAAGATGTGACTATTAATACCTAAGAGTTATTGTGGAGACTATGCATACGAAGCTCGTCTGCACAACGTGACATGGAAGTTCTCAATAAATGATAGCTATTAATAACAATTATAACAACAACATATAGAAATCATTAGCACACTATTGGACAGAAAAACATCGTGTTGTAACTTTTTAACGTGACATTTTATAATTTTTGCCTCTAAACCAAGTACAAAAAAGAGTATTTGTATATTTTAAGACATGTTTTCTTTTGTTCATCTCTTCCAAACACTTGATTCTTATTATCATATTAAGAAAAAGAAATTAAGTCAAGCAAAAATAAGAAGTAAAACCAGATTTGTCTATGTGTGTATATGTGCAGACACACACACACACACACATACCCTTCCAATATGCATTACACAATTTAAGGAAGTTGTATAGAACCATCAGGAAAAAGTTGAAAAGTAAACAGGAAGAGCCATACACTATAATGAGAGTAACAAGGCATACAAATGCAGGCAAATTTCCAAGTTCAACTATCTGAACAATCCATTCAGAATCACATTATCATCAGAAAAATATACTGTAATTCTTCTGGTGCTTATCCGGGGAGATAGATTCACAAGTCCTGAAAAGTTAGATATTCTCATTTTTTCTTATCAGTGCAGGCAAAAGAATTTAATATTTTCTTTAAACAAAACCAAGTTGCTCCTATAATTACTATGGAAGATTTCTAAAGTATGTAATATTTGATAATGAGATTTCTGACACAATTTCAAGAGAAAGTACAGAGGGTTCCTATGCTACCAAGTCAGACTCTTCAAATATAAAATAAAATCGAAATTTTATAACAGACTTGTGTTTCTAAAAATGTATTCCTTGGAACAATAATCTCACAAGCCTTTGAGGTGATAATAGGGTTATGCAATGAGTTGAAGTCTGGGAAATGCTGTATTTTATATCATTTTCTCAGAGATTCACAAATCTATTAACATAAAAGGTTCTGAGGAGTCCTGCAGTGAGGAGAGCTGTTTAAATTTGTTTAAGCAATGTTACCCAACTTTATTGGGACAGAAAATCCTTTTTCCATACAAAGTTAGGGAACCAGTGTTCCTCATAATAGCTTTTGGGAAAATGTACAATCAATTGCTCTTGATTAGTTATTAAAAGAGCAATTTCGTATGATCCTGTCCCAAAAAAAGATAGTCACTGGAAGAATTTGTTAATCTCCCAAAATAAGCCCATTGTATTTCATGACAGGACCAAATATATATATATATATATATATAACATACCTAGACTAGCACTTCCACTGTCTTTAACAAGTTGTAGTTATTTCCAGAATATGTGCTTTGACTCTCTTACTGCCTGTATGTTATTTAATAAACCTCCAACTCCCAGTTTCTAATACCTGTGAAAAGCTAAGAATGAATGTGACCCTTCAAGCCACTGCTTTTCCTTTTGGGCTTTACTATAAGCTAAGTAAACCCTGTAGCTGTGAGCTGCTGCACACTTTCAAATAGGAAAATACTAAATTCAGTTAGCAGTTTATTAACTGGTGCTATGAGCCTGCACTTATGCAATTCTACAGTAAAATAATGAACATTTCACAACATTGACTCCAACATTATTACTTCATTTCCCTAACACCCCTCTTAAGTATATAAAACAAAATAATGTACTACTACTTTACCTATGGAGGTTAAGCAAGTTGCCCCAAGTGCTAATAGTCAGCAGGGGCCAATTTCTTGTTGGCTAGACACTGCATGTTACAAGTATAGAAACTATATCAGATAATCATCCTAAAATATGAACAAAAACAGGAAATTCCTTTACTAATAGCTTATTATTTAAGGAATTTTCTTCTTTTGAAATAATTTTGGAGAACAATTTGTTAGAAAGCTAAACTTGAACAAAAACAAATCAGATGGCATACTAGATAGCTTTTTGTGAGTTCAGAAATTAGGAACTGAGTCTTAACAACCATAATAAGGTATTCATTACTTTGTCATTGTGTTAGAACAAAATCAGTAAGCCATAATGAATTCTGGGTAAAGTGTGAATGTGAATGACCATGCTGCCAGGCTGTGGCATCAACTTTCTTCTGAGGTTCTCCTTTCAGTTTCAGAAGTATATAAAACAGTATAACAAAATGTAGAAGACTAAATAGATATCAACCATTTTTAAAAAGACTAATAAGAAAGACACAATGACTGTTATTATGGAAAGTACTACATTCTGGTAACCCATGGATGTTTAGCAATAGATTCTCAAGTTATACAAAGTAAGTTGGTCATTGGAAGGAAAACAACAACAACAACAGACACTTCAAAACATGTATGGCAGAATACATGTAATCACAGTATTTTATGATAACATATATCATTAACAAAAAAAATCTTACATTAAAGAAGAATGTTAACAATTCAGAAAAGGAAAAGAAGTTACAGGATCAGGTTCAAATTTCAAAAAATTTTTTAACGTAGAAGCAGAGATAACAAAAATTGGTCTTCACCTGGTAAGTGTGTACTCCCTGAGTCCTGAATGCAAATTCATGGCAGAAAAAGTACCTATGCATCCACGTAATCTTTTGTCTCGACCAATCTTCCATGTTACAAACAGTGGGCTGTAATGGAAGATGAAAAACTATGGTTAAATCAATTCAAACAAATATTTATTGAGTACTTCCTATATGCAAGGTTAGATGCTTGAGATATAAAGACCAAAAGACAGATTCTTAAGGGTCTCAGAATCTAGTCCAAAAGGACCACACTTAGCAATAATGATAGCTACATTTTATTGCATGTGTCCTATGTTGGGTACCATGATAAATGTCTTAACATATTATTTCTTTTATTCCTCATCAATTCTAGGAGGCTGATATTGTTACTATCATCCCTATTTTATACATGAAGAAGGCACAGAGTTAATATATAATGAAGTAGGTATTAAAATCTGGGCAATCTTGACTAGTGTCTTAACTGTCATGATCTACTGTATCACTCTTCATTTAAACTTCAAGTTATGGATTGTTTGTAAATATAACTTAGAAAACTAGGGGGAAAAACAATTTCAACAAATACTTACTGAACATATAGGGGCAAAGCACTGGGAAGGGTGCTACAGGAGATACAAAGATGACTAAAACGCAGTTGTTGCTCTCTAGGAGCCAGTACAGGGGGCAGACATGTTCACAGCTAACTATAATACAAGGCAAAAAGAAGTAAGTACTATAAGCCATATGCAAAATGCCATAATTTAAGCTCCTTGGGTAGAAGAAAACTTCATGGAGTTTGATAACCTTCAGCATGGCCTAGAAAAATATGGTTTGGAGAGGAGGAGATCATGAAAACCCCTTACTGTTGAGTCAGTTATGACTCATAGCAGCTATATAGGACAGAGGAGAACTACCCCATAGGCTTTTCAAGGCTGTAAATCTTTATGGAAGCAGACTGCCACATCTATCTTCCACGGAACAGCTGCTGGGTTCAAGTTCCTAACCTTTCAGTCAGCTGTCAGGCATTTTAACCACTGTGCCACCAGGGCTCCTAATAGCAACATTAACAATGTAATACTCTGAAACTAGAAAATTTATTTTAATTTTTAGATAAAATCCTTGCCTAGTAATATAATCTGTCAAGCATCGAAGATAAAAGTATAGATTATAATAAAATGGTATCAAGAGGCAATGAAGCTGAGTCTTAAATGAAGACACTAGATGTTTGGATTCTGCAGCAAACCACTGACATCCTTAATAAATAAATCATTACATCGAGGTCAATATTTATGAAATAAAGTAATTTAAACATTTTAGGACATTTTGAAAATAAATAAATACCCTAGAATTGGGGGCTGTTGTTTTAGGTGCTGTCAAGTTGGCTCCGACTCGCAGTGACCCTGTGTACAACAGAACGGAACACTGCCCGGTCCTGTGCCAGCCTCACAATCCTTGCCATACCTGGCCCCATCATTGCAGCCACTGTGTCAGCCCATCTGGTTGAGGGCCTTCCCTTATTCGTTGACCCTCCACTTTACCAAGCATGATATCCTTCTGCAGGGAATGGTCCCTTCTGACAACATGACCAAAGTAGGTGACACAAAGTCTTGCCATTCTAACTTCCAAGGAGCATTCTGGCCGCAGTTCTTCCAGGACAGATTTATTTGTTCTTCTGGCAGTCCATGGTACTTTCAGTAGTCTTCGCCAACACAACATCTCAAAAGCATCAACTCTTCTTTGGTCTTCCTTATTCATTGTCCAGCTCCCCCAGGGTTGGGGGGATTGCGTGTTACTCTGAGTATTCAAAATATGTCATTTCCACTTTCTAAAAATTTAAATTTTAGTGGGACATTTATGTATTTTTTAGAATATAGTGGTGAGTTGGAGAACATAGTATCTCTTTTAAAATACCCTCTAGTCAGTCATCAGCAGCTGGGTGAAAAGATATTCTCCTGTTCAAGTGTTTCATTACCCACCTCAATCATTTAAATTATGCTGAGTTCTGACAGATTGCCACAATGGCAGAAAAGTTCCCAAATAAATAATGAATACACACCAGGGAGTAATACTCTGAGTTACCTTCTTCCAAGAGCCAAGTGCCCAGTGGCATTGAAAGAGATGACTTAAATACAAGGCCCAGTTAACTGTCAATGTCAATATTCAAGTGCTGGATGACCTACAGCAAAGTTACTAAAATAAAAAGCAAATGGTGA